CAACGCATAAAAATGCAAACTTCTAGTTCACTAAAAAGTGGAAGTATTGCTCGAGGGATCATTTGTCAAAAAATGCACGTTCATTTACATATACGATTGCGGTTAAGGTCCGAGCTGCGAACGAATTTTTGAAAATATGCAAATCCGAGCGGTCGTTTCCAAAAAAACCGTGTTCATTTACATATACGATTGCGGTTAAGGTCCGAGCTGAGAACGAATTTTTGAAAATATGCAAACAGTTCATTTAAAAAATGAAAGTATTGCTCGAATGGTCGTTTTTCAAAAAAATCCATGTTCATTAGCATATACAATTGCGGCTCAGTTCCGAGTTGCAAACGGTTTTTGGGCTCAGGAGCTGCTTGAGACTGTGGTTGAGAAGCTAGAGAGCTGAGTTTAAAACTTTTATCTCGCACGTGCATAGAGAATATCCTTGCAAAGTTTCAGCTTTTTACGTTGCCTGGTTCGCGAAATCGTTTCCTGCCAACAAATTTCTTGGGGGGTCCCGTACGCGGGGTTTAGGCGTGTATGGGGAAAGATCTTAAAACGGGAGGATAGCACACGGGGTAGGAACATATGTCCAAAGTGTCAGATTCCCAGCTTCCCTGGTTGCTGGGATGAAAGTGGGTGACAAAATGCACTCGCTTTCCGCACACACACACGCACACACACAAACACACACACAGCCTCTCGACAATGTGCGTTTTTGCTATAGCGTTGCACAGCAAAAACGCATAAAAAGCAGCTGCACTTTTAACATTTTTTAGAAAAAGCTCTTTATCAGGAAACTGTACGGACCCCCGTATTTTCTTCCCCTCTCCCCCTCCTCTTTCATCGGTATTTTGTTGGTTCACTCACTCGCCTTTAAAATTTTTTTCTACCTGATAAAACCGCGTGTTGGCCTCTCGTGCAATTGCTTGCGACAAGCGTGTTTTACCTGAAAGAAATGGAGCTCATGTACTGGCTAAATTTTCCATACAAAACCAGCTTACTGCGTATGGAGAATTTACCCAAGAAAATAAGAAAAATCAAACCTGTCCCGGGTGGACCATAAAGGAGAATGCAACGCCAAGGAATAAGACCCGACAAAGCAAACCATTCCGGATACAGTATTGGGTCCACAACAGATTGTACGAGTGCTTGCTTTGCCTGTAGAATTCATGAGTCAAAACACCAACACTTTTTATCAGTAAAGAAACTCGCCATCAAATTGATTGCAAGAGGGAGTTATTGACAGCCTTGCCAACTTATGGTTGTTGTTGGCATTTGCTTGCATTCAGGCTAATTTAGAGGGCATTCGCCTCTTGCAGAGGAGTACGGAAGAGGTTTTAACTTACAGCTTATGATTAAAGAACGGTAGCAAATGAAGTCTAATATCAGTTCAGTAGTAATACTGACGTGTTTTATAGCTAATTATGTCTCGAGTTGCTTTTGCACTTATCTTAACGTCTACCTACTTTTTCTGGCCTACGCCTTCTCTTTCGAAATTCACTACGAATCCTGTTGCAGCACAATGGGTCTGGCACAGCTGCGGCAGGCATATCAGAGAATATAAGTAGCTTTATTAACACGGGATACTCACGCCGATTGTCCGGTTACACCAAAAAACTTAGTCGAAAGCGTACCGGCTGCCGATACGAGGGTGCGTTTTTTGCACAGTTTTCCCGCAGCTTTTTTTCGCTAGTGGCACGCTCTTCCCGGCAGATGCTTCTAGCTAAAAGAATTGTGACTGGCCAC